GGCGGGGCCGGGGGGGTGGCGGCGGGCTGCGCCGGGCTCCCCAGCCCTGCCCCGGGGCTCGGCCGGTAACCGGTCACTGCCCGGGGCGGCCCCCGGCGTGTCTGGTAGCGGCCGTGCCATGCCGAGCTCGCCCGGTGCGTGGCCGGTGGCCGGCACCCGTTGGTGGCCGTGCGGTGCTGAGCTCTCCCTCTCCTCGCAGCGCTGAAGGTGCAGCTGGACACCAGGCTCTTCGGGCAGCACTTGGCCAAGGACGTGGTGCTGAAGGCGGTGATGGGCTTCAGCAGCAACCCCAGCCCCAAGAAGCCGTTGACTCTCTCGCTCCACGGCTGGGCTGGCACCGGCAAGAACTTCCTGAGCCAGATCCTGGCCGAGCACGTCCACCGCGCCGGCCTGCGCAGCAAGTTCGTCCATCTCTTCCTGGCCACCCTGCACTTCCCCTACCACGACCAGATCAAGCACTACAAGGTGAGGAGGGACGCCGGGGTTTAACTTGGCCGCTTACCCCGAGCCTCTAAAGGAGGGGGTTTGGACGTTTGCGCTGCGGGTGTCCCCCCACAAACCTGACAGCCGGCGGTGCGCAGCTGGGCGTTTCCAAAGCTGGTGCTTAGGAGAGACGCGGCGGGAAATTGAAAGGCACCAAAATGCCAACAAATCCAAAGCGAGCGTAATTTCCTAATGTTGTTTACTCACTGATGCCATCTGCTGATTTCTGCGGTGTTTGCTGTTAGGAAAGAATCCTGCTATTAAAACTGGGCTGGAGATAACTTTCTCCACAGCAGTCCCTGTGGTGCTGTGTTTTGTGGCTAAACCAGTGCTGATAACGCACCAGTGTTTTGGCGGTGAGGGACCAGTGCTCCCACAGCCTCAAAGCTTGCTTTTTTCCCCCCCCTACCCACTCGTAGCGAGTAGAGATTGGGAGGAGACGCAGCCGGGACAGCTGACCCCCGTCGGGCAAAGATACATTCTGCACCATATACAATAAAAACTGGGGTAGAAAAAGGAAAATCTGGGGGGCATTGGCTTTCAGGGTGGTTGTTACTCTAACACTGGCTGAGTGTTGGTCTGCATGTGTTGGGGTGAGTGATTCCCTTTGCTTCTTTTTTTTTCTTTATCACCTATCAAACTGTCTTTATCTTGACCCATTAATTTTCTCGCTTTTATTCTTTTCCTCTCTTCCCTATCATGTTGGAGGGTGCTTGGCTGCTGGCCGGGTGTCACGACCCGGACTGGAAGCCCAGAGAATCGCAACGGTTCTGTGATCCCCTCGGGTTAAATTAAGGTGAAATGACACCAAACGACTGGTTAAAATGTTTTACTTGCGGTAGAGAACAATTTAAACTTGGAAAAGGATAATAACCATGTGGTCTCTTATAAATCTATAAGAAAAATGAGAGAGAGTCAAAGAAATCCAGATTACCATCCCTGGATCCAGCATTGTCTCAGGTCTGGTAATCTTGGGTGGTGAGCACACACAGAGCAAAGTTTCTGTTGCATTTTTGAATTAATTTTATTAGATGATTAGCGTCGTAGACGAAGAGGGGCAGGTATTCCACAAACACATTTCCATGACAGACGAGGAAAAAGGTGGAGCATGGGTTTGAGTCGGCGGTCCTTGCCCAGCTTTGGTTTTAACTCTGTTCCCAGAGATCTTATCAGTCATTATGATCACCTCTTATCAGCTCTTGTTACCACTGCAGTGGCGAAGGTGCGAAGTCATTAGCAAGTTATTAGCAAGGCATGCATGGTGTCTGGCTTGCACAATAGAGCCACAAAGTATGGGGTTTAGGGGTACTTGTGCTTGAGGGGAAACACCTAGTTTAGTCCAGGTCTCCCCCTCTGAGGCTTCTCTAAGGAGTATGTCAGTGCAGCTGCAAGGGGGTGGGGGGTGCATCCTTCAATATACTCCTGCTTCCTTGGATGACATTTCTTAGACTAATCCAAAGGCCACAGCTTGTCCTTGAGGTTTTCTGTGTCGATGAATGTTTGAGGCATTTCTTCCTCCAGTTCCTTACACCGGGTCAACCCACCACGCATTGAGCAAGGAGAGGGTGTACCCGTGTCCTGGTTTTGGCCGGGATAGTGTTCATTTCTCCCTAGTAGCTGGTACAGTGCTGTGTTTTGAATTTAGTGTGAGAATAATGTTGATAACATGCTGATGTTTTAGTTGTTGCTAAGTAGCACTTGAGGATTTTTGTTTCCCCTGCTCTGCCAGCGAGCAGGTGCACAAAAAGCTGGGAGGGAGCATCAGTAAGTGGGTGGTGAGCAACTGCATTGTGCATCACTTGTCTTTTCTTGTTTTGTTTTGGGGTTTTTTTTGTTATATTCCTTTCCCTTACTATTATTATTATATCTTATTATTATATTTTGTATTTTATGTTGTATTTTTGTTTTATTTTAGTTATTAAACTGGTGTTATCTCAATCCACTTCTTTTTGATTCTCCTTCCCATCCCACTGGGAGGGGGGGATGAGTGAATGGCTGTGTGGTGCTTAGTTGCTGGCTGGAGTTAAACCACAACAGCCTGCATGAGAAATTTTTCAAGTGAAAAAATGTCATTCCCTGACATTGGAGAGTTCTGGTCTTCATGTTTTAATCTTTGAAGGTACCTAAAACTGATGTACTGATAGATGTGGTTCCTGTATGAAAGACAAAACACTGACCTCTTTTTTTTTTAAAAAAAAAAAACAAACCAAAAAACAAAAAACACAACAAAAAGGAGTTTTTCTTTTTCCTCCAAGGCTTTCTATCTCAGCTGGTTTTTGTGTCTTATCCATACATTAAGCAGAAATAATTAGAAGGTCTTTCCTCTATGAGCAAGACAAAAATTGACGTTTCAATTCAGTGTCATGTGTCAAAGGGATCAGTCACAGAGTTTATGGTCCTCTCTTCAGGAAAAGCTGTAACCACTGTGTGTGTGATGCCGACATTTGAAAGGGTGTCCCTAGTGTCTGTCACAAGTATCTTGTATCCAGAAGAGACCTAGTGTTCCAGTGGTTTTCAACCTCTTGTTCCAGGAACAACTGCAGAACTGGATTCGAGGCAACGTCAGTGCCTGTCCCCACTCTGTCTTCATTTTTGATGAGATGGACAAAATGCATCCAGGTCTCATAGATGCCATCAAGCCGTTCTTAGACTATTACGAGCAGGTTGATGGGGTATCCTACAGGAAAGCCATCTTCATCTTCCTCAGGTCTGTAGCACCTATTTTGGTCATTCTGAGGTATTGGGTTAAATTTGGGTTTATGATGATAATGATGTTCCTATGGGACGACATTCAAAGAACAGCAAAAGAACGGTTCTGGAGTGAAGACCCTCTGTAAAGACAGAGGGGAGCACTGTGAGCTCTTGTGTTGCCTGTGGATGCTGTGCAGTGGATCACTGCAGCGTGGTGCCTGGCCCAGAAGCACAGATTGTATGAGAGTTCCCATTTTGGGGAAGTTCTCTGGAGTGGGTGCACCCTGTACTGAGTCTGGCTGGCCTGGAATTAACTGGCTTCTCAGCAGCCGTTCTGGTGCTTTGTTTTGGATTTGTGGCTAAAACATTGTCAGTAACACACCGATGTTTTTGCCTGTTTCTGGATGGTGCTTGCAAAGCATCAAGGCTTTCTCTTTTTTTCCCCACGCTGCCTCCAGTGGGTAGGCTGGGGTGGGCAGGGGATGGGAGGGGACACAGCTAGGACAGCTGACCTGAACTGGCCAGGGGAATATTCAATATTATGTAATTTCATGCTCAGCAAGAAAACCTGGAGTAGAGAAAGAAGGGGGGGAGTTCAGCTTCCAAGGTGATGGTTCTTGGCAGACTGCCAGGGCATTGATCTGATTATGGGTTGAGTGATATCTTTTCCCCCACCTTTTCATAATCTATTAAACTGTCTTTATCTCGATCTACAAGTCTTCTAACTTTTATTCTTATTTCCTCCTTCCATCCTGCTGAGGTGGGAGGGAGTAAGTGGCTATGTAGGTGCTTGGCTGCTGGCTGGGGTCAGCCCATCACACACTGATGGCAATTTTAAGAACTGGAGGCTTACCGTAAATTTTGGCTTACAGGTTTCTGTTTTGGTGATTTGTTTGACTTCAGGAAGATTAGCAATATGTGTAACTAGCTAAAAAATGTGCCTCAGTTGTGTCCATTCACCACTGAATGTTTTTCTTTTATGAATAGCAATGCAGGTGGTGACATAATTAATAAAGCAGTTCTTGACTTTTGGACAAGTGGAAAGCACAGGGAAGAGATTCAGCTCAAAGATCTGGAGCCCATGCTATCTGTAGGAGTCTACAATAACAAGAATAGTAAGTCACTTTCCCCAGAAAGTGGGAAAGTTTTTACTTCATAACTGGTCTGTACTGCAGCCTACCTTGACCCTGCCCTGCTTCCCGTGACCCCACCTTCCAACAGTGCCCTGGCCCCATGCCCTTCTGTCCTGTCTCTCCAGTATCTTGCCCTCACAAGGAAGTTTTTGGCAGAGAAGTTGCTCTTCATGCACACTGAAGGTTAGCAGCAACAGCTGTGAGGCGCTGTCAGTCTGATCCATCCAGCTAACTGGATGCTTTTCTCAGGCAGCAGTTGAGACAAACTGCTTTGTGAATTCAGTCTGGCCTGTGGACCCTATCTTATGCAGACTCAAAGAATTATAGGACTTTCTCTAAACTTTTTTTTCCTCCAAACTCCTCCAGGTGGACTGTGGCACAGCAGCCTTGTTGACAGGAACCTCATTGACTACTTCGTCCCCTTCCTGCCCCTGGAGCACAAGCATGTGAAGATGTGTGTCAGGGCTGAAATGATGGCCCGTGGCTATGCTGTTGATGAGAAGGTTGTTCAAGCAGTGGCTGATGAAATGACATTCTTCCCAAAAGAGCAGAAAATCTACTCTGATAAAGGCTGCAAGACTGTACAGGCCAAGCTGGATATTCATGAAGATGCTATGACAAGAGATTTGAAAGCCGAGGGTTGATTACTCCTCAGGTCTCTAAAGGACTTTCAGAGCTTTGGCAAATCTGTGTATTTGCACTTAAGTTTTTTTACTGTTGCAGGGAGATGGTGAAAATACCTGAATGAGCTCTGTGGGCTTTTCAATGTTGTTTTTTTTTTTTTTTTTTTTTTTTTTTTTTAACTTAACATCCTTCTGTTCATCTCTGAACTGTCTGGTATCCAAATGTTGTCCCCTTCATTCTTCTTTTAACTTGTAGAGAATTTCTGAGTATGAGAGATGTATATCACTGGATACATTCTCTCCTGCTTTATTCTTCAAGTACTGCAATTAAGTATTGAATTCCTCTTTCTACAAAAACTAGACTGTAACAAAGGAGAACAGAGGAATTCTTCCAGGCAGTTGTATTCCCTCTCTTGTTCATGGGCTAGTGAAATGAAGGGATGTGGGGTGTGTTCAGGACTAGGGCAAGGGTGAATCCCTTGATGCGTTGCAGTAAGAAGATGGTATGGTGGAAGGCCTCCTGTCCTTCACATCAGACTGATGCTGTTGTGGCTTCCACAACTGAGCATCAGCTATTCAGGGACAGAAGGGCATGATTATAGTTTATGTCTGAGCTCTGGCATTGTATACCATGTCTCCTGCTACAGTGACATGGAAAGGCATGACGAGCTCCACGAAATCTGTTGCTAAATAGTAGAAAAAGGGGAGGTGGGGCAAGTAACTCTTTGCTCCTGTGCTTCTTTGGAGAAAAAACTTGTAAAAGAAACTATGTTTTTTTTAACGAAGGGGGCTCATTGAACGTGTGTGGTAACTCCAGGCCTTCCTAAGCAGAGGGACCCAACCGAGGGATCTGTGCTAAAACATACCAGGCCAGTCTCCTGCTCTTAATGAGAAAAATCACTTGTGAGGATTTGACTGTTATGGCTTGGCAGGTTAATCTGCATGTGGGGGCTTCTGGGCCTGAAGTGTTTAAGATCCCTGGGAGTCCCTCTCAGCTGCACCCAAAAGACTAGGAGTAGGTAATGCTACTCTCATCTGGTTTGGAAGACTGTTTCATAGCAGTTATTTTCAATAGCATATTTTTATACTGAAGTGTAAGCAACAGCAATAGAAGGTTCTTTCTAGAGAGCCACAGAGAAGGGGGTATGGGACATGGGGAAAAATCAACAATCCTGTACTTAAGTATGTTTTATAGTAGCTTTTAGCACTAAAGAATGTGTGTGGAAGGGTGAGTGACGAATTAGGAAGCTGGGAAAAATTGATTTAACCTTCACCCACTGGTCAGGATGGAGTTTAAAACTTTTTTGCAAGGTTTAACTCTTTCATCATCCATCACTTGTGGATCAGATATTCTAGTGCAAGACAGAAGTGCCTATCACTTGGTTGATTGTAGTGTGTTTTTTAAACTGGTATGAGGAATTGGGCTATTTTTGTGCTGCAGCCATCTACTTGCTCACTTGTACTTGATGTAATGCAATACTTACAGGTTTCAACCCAATTATGTTAATTTAAATTACAACAGAGAGCTTAGTATTTATGTTAAACTCTAAATTTAAGTGTCAATTGCATTTTACAACCCCACATGGAGGCTGTCAAACGCTGGCAAACTTCACACTGATGCAATCTCCAGAACCAAATGCTAGCTAGCCATTAACCTTGGGACATTGGACTGTTGCTTTTTGTGTATGTTTTGCCTATTAACTTAGTCATAGGTGCACCCAGTTTCAGTTACTCCAAACTCAAAATACCTGTGCAATTTCAAGACACAATGTTAGTACAGTACTGCAGCTGCAATAAATTTTAAGTCCCTTTTTTGTCTTGGTTTAATCTTTTTGGTTACAGGGAAGTACAAGTTTATGCTGTTTTCAACCACCTGCTATGCAGCTTTCTGTTAAACAAATTTTTAAGAATAAAGCTTATAACAATGGATAGGCAGATTAAATAGCCTGTTGATGTTAAAACATGTTGAGTCATCCAACAATACAGTAAGGAATGCAGCAGTTAAATACAGCTCAGTAGAAACACCTACCTGTGAAAAAGCCTTAAAGTCTCTGCCAGCTCTGCTTCATAGTTATTAACAGATCTCTGCTACCATACTGCCAGGTGCTGCAGGATAAATATGCCTTGGGCAGCTGATTTAACCATTCCTCCAGTGCTGCATCTGGAAAGCTGTTCCAGGCAGCTCCTCACCTCTGAGCTGGCAAAAGCATGATAGGACTACAGGCTTTCACCGTAGCTCTGTGAGCCAGAGCATCTGCAGCTTCTCTAGCACTGAAGGAGAGCCAGGGGGTAAATAATGGCCTAATTCAAGCAAGGTACAGCCATTGGCCACAACTCTCACCTCACTGAACAGTTGGTTGTTGACGTGGTTGTGAAGGTGTGCTGTAGTGATGCACAAGGAAGCTGGTTACAGAGCGCAGCCAGGCAGCGTCAGCTGTCTCATTCAGCAGGACTTTGCACTGTGCTGTTCCACACACAGGACAGCTCTGCTCAGGCAGATACATCTCTAGAGACAGGTTGCTTCTTTCTGTCAAGAGAACAGCACTTACTACATTGCTGTGCTTTAACCATAGCCTCTGATTTTATGAGTGTGAGATCTCAGAACATTCCCCACAGAAGGTTGAATTAAAGCAGTACTTCCTCGTACTGGATTTTGGTAAGAATTCAGTCTCGGTGACTGCTCAGCTACTCTCACCCAGCCAGTGAATCAGACCTTTACTCCCATTTGACATTTTCCTTCAAGTTGTCTGAGCCAGTTTCAAGTGGCCAAACTTACCCACTCACAGCCAGGTGTTTACTATCTATAATCAGGTCAAAGAAAGAGATAAATACCTAAGTTCAAAGTGTTCATTTGCTGACAAATACTAGGACTGATAATTTGCATATTACACAACTTCAGAACTGGACAGTTGGAGTTTTAGTGGCCTTTCCCCCGCCCGCCCC